AAGACAACACAAAGGCAGCAAATCCTACTTTTTTTTTTTTCTTTTGTAAAGTACTTAAAACTAGCGGTTTGTTGAAGCCAAAATGACTCTTTCCACCGATCTAAGCAATTGTAAATTCTCCTCCGATTTTTTATTTTAGCATCATATAATCAAAAAAATGGTCCACCAAGAGATTATTAATATTATTGACATTATTATTGGTAATATTGATACCATTATTATTGATCAGAAACTCGGGTTTTAATTTTTTAAGAATACGTTCGTAATAAGCTACTAGTTTATAGCAACAAAATTTAGTTGGTTCTTAGACGTGAATTTAAATGTAAATAAATAAATTCGTATTATATACAAATAATAATGTAACAGTACAGACCATATGTGTTCAACACAATACATAAGTCTGATAAACAATCAAAGAGACAATAGTTTACGTTCGTCTAATTTCATCGGTTTGCTGTCGGCAAAAAAATGCTTTCTAAACAACAGATATTTGTAGATGTACAATACTAAGAAACTACAGAATGATGAACTGTTAATCATATACAAAAATAGACACTACTTTCAAATAATCTTCCTTTACCTGTTTCAAATCACAGAATATTCAGCTATAGTAATATAATGAGAATAACAACAAAAATACCAATAATACTAATTAATAACACAATAAGATCAATAAGATGAAGGAGAAGAGCAATAACTTTAACGATAATAAATATAATATTATCAAAACATTTAATCAACTGTAATATAATCATTAAAACAGAATCAAAAAGCTTATCAAAAGAGTGACCTCGTTTGAAATGCCTACATTTTTATTTTAACATTCATTATTATTTTTATCATTATTATTACTATTATTATCACTCTTATCATCTTTTGGTTTTAGCGGCACCTTTGCTGACTGTTTACTCAAATAAATCAGTTTTAAGAAGTTGTTGCAGAATTGAAGAAAACAGTTCAGTCAAGAAAAATTTTCTTTCTTTTTTGATAAAAAATTTCAGTGAAAATTGGAATAACATTACGGTAGACTGTTGAAAAAAATAATATGCAATACTTTATAAAACAATAAAATATTTCTAGAAAAATCATGCATTTCATTTGTTGACAGTTTCACAGATTTAATATTTTGATAATGTATAAAAAAAAGAAAAAAAAAAGTTATCAAGAAAAAAAAAAAGAAAAAAAAAAAGAATAAAAAGTGCATAGAATTATTACAACTGTATGTCACTGTACCGACACTATCTTTTTACAGTACCGATGAGCAGAGGAAGAAAAAAAAAAAAAAAGGTGAAATTGCAAATTATTGAAAATAGAAAAATTAACCAAAACAAATAAACAGAAAAAAAAAAAACAGCAAAAAAAAAAAAAAGTACTAGCAAAAGCTATAAAATTTACAATCTATTTTACTTGTAAATGATACCAAATACTGAAACACAGACACAAAAAAAAAAGCATTAAACATTATTTTAGCTATCAGTTCATTCATAAAATTCGTACAGCAAAACTTAAAATTTAAAAAAAAAAAAGAAAAAAAATGGTTGGGTTTAAACTGACAATAAAAGTTGTACAATAAAGTAAAACAAACCGCTTCCAAAAAAGTATTCATAAAATAGTGTTAACAAAAATATATTTCTGTTTAGCTGATATATCCATCCAATAACCTTTGGAATACCTTCTAATAGAAAAATTGTCATTAGCTTTCTTTTTTTTTGCCAGTTATTATTAACCCAAAATCCACGTATTCCTACAGATAGTGAAAAGAAAAAAAAAACATTCTCCACTAAACATTAATCAAAATGTAATGACAATAAAACAAGAAAAAAAAAAAGATTTTTATCTTATCATTTGAATAATGAATGCAGTTATTATTACTATAACGTTAAAAGAAATTTTTACCACATTAAATCTGATTAAAGAAAAAAAAACCCATCATTTACCATAAAGAAGGTATTACAACAAATTGGACTTTAACCGAATTTCCTTTTTTTTTTTTTTTTTCCTTCCATATAAATATGCATCCAATCGATTTATATTTATTCTGATTTTTTGTAAATATATAAAGCCAAAAAATGTAAATATAAGAATGTGCATTTATTTATACAAAAATGTAACACCTGTTACAGTGCGTGCATCCAAAAAAAAAAAAGATTTTCACAACCATTTATCAGTAACACTCCTGTCATCAATGGCACAACAAACAGATACCGGTTTTTTGAAGAAAAATTCCACTGGTTGTTGATCATAAAATCTGATCACGTCGTACATTCTTGTTTCCCTCAACCTGTTATAAGTTTAGTTGAAATAACTGAATAAATTTTCCGCTTTTTTTTTTTTTTTTCATTTTTTGCTCAACTTTTAGTGAACAAAAAAGAAAAAAAGCCGACATTAGGCTGTAATAGGTAAAAAGGTTTTACAAAGATTAAGATGAGTACGAAATTCTTTTGTACATCCGAATCGAAGCACCCAAAAATAATGTCGTCGAAACCGAAGTGGTCGACTACGCAGCGGACAACTGAGTGTGTATTTTGCAACGAAGGAAAATATGGTTCGGCTTGGCGGCTGTTGAAGTGTTTGAATATTCTTCGTGACACCGCTGCTGCTGCTGCTGCTGCTGTTCTTTGTGTATTGATTTTCATCTCTTAAATTCTTAACTATATAGTTCACGCTCGAATGTTTATATGTGTAGAAAATTTTTAGTGACTGTTAACCTAGAAAGCAGGAAAGATAAAGTGGAAAATTTTGGCATAGGATTCTAATGCTTTTTGATAATAGGAAATAAACTATAGTTAAGCATGGGATTCTAGTTTAGTCGCGTTATAAAGCTCTCTCTGAATCACTTTTTACGGCACATTAGTTTCAGATGTTCCATGGATTTGTGAAAAAAAACGCAGTGAAGAAGAAACACCTGTTTTTGTTGTGGTCCAATATGCAAAAAAATATTTAGTATTTTTTCATCTTTTTAAACAGTTTTTTTCTTCAATAAAAATGATTGCTCTTATTGGTATCAAAATCTGTCTTTTTTCTTTTTCTTTTTTTATACTGACACAATTTTTTTTAGTTAAATTAAGATATATTTGTAGAACGACAGCAACTGTTCCAGAGTTTTGCAGATTTTTTCCTTTCGCGTTCAGGAGATATTTAGTTTTCAGTAATACTGAACTTGCTCTGTCTTTTCCAAAATCATTCGATAAATCTGTCTTAGAAATATGTGGAGAAAAAAGTCATTGTTGGAGCACT